GAATGCAACAGAGCCCAGAATGTGCAGCTGGTTCCTGAGGTGAGATGCCGGAGCAGTCCAGCGTGGCGAGCATGACAGGCCAGGCAAGCGAACTTGACGGGGAGCAGCTGCGGGTCGTTGAGGCATGAGCGTGGGCTCTACATCCGGAGGACCGGTCCTGCGAAAAAAGGCGCCCTTTGCCCATTTGCAATAGCGTGATTCTGCTTCGCCTCTGCTGTCTGTGTCAGCTCTTCGACCAGAACGTTTCCGACAGCGCCTCGGTCCTTGATCGCCTCCGCTCTCACATCTTCTGCCCCGAAACTCCAGGACTGGGCATCGCGATACCGGAAGCATAAGCAGAGCCTGGATCAGCTCACAAGGTTGGCGGCATTTGGCGGAAGCATTGTGAAGGAAAGACGTTGCTTGATATCTCAACGGACTTTGAGTGTTGTTCGATGCCACGTTGCGTCGTCGTAGACCCCGGTGACACTGACACATCAGTATCATGACCAAATATGTGTCTACTAAGAGGACCACAAGGCCATGCCCAAGACGAATCCAAGTGCAAGATGCGAAATGCGGCGCTTGGCGACACCACGACAGCATGTGGCAAGCACGGCACCTGTTTCGGGAGGCTGCGGCGAAGAGTGTGAGGCATGTCAGGGCAAAGCAGAGGAGTCACGTCCCGAAGCACCACGCTTCAGTCGTCCGCACTCAAGGAGGCACTTTTTGATGCACTTTTTGTTGCTTTGATGAGCAGGGAAAAGCAGGCAATAAGCAATCAAACAAGTGGCATGACAGGAGGGTTCGGCCCATTCGGACATTGCACTTTCGAGAAGCAACTTCACGTCAGAAGGTCAGGGGATTAGGGCCGTCAGGGTCACGGGCGGGTCAGGCCTGGGACGGTGATGGGTTTACGCTGTGGTGAAGATCATGTTGATGGTGGCCGATTGGACATCAGCCCCCTCGCCGTTTCCGCTCCGCCTCCGAAAGGGTCGGGTGGCCCGGTCACTGAAAGAGGAGGGGAAACAGGGCAAATTCTTTGGGAAACTCTGTGCCGAGACGAATTCCCTGCAAAAATGATGCAGGGCTGCCACCCCCCTTCACCCCCTGTGCCAATAATGTCCCCCGTTGGATTCCACTCCTGGGGAGTATTGGACAGTTATTATGATCCCTTGGATCTAAAGGCAGCACACGGCAGCTGTTGTTTTGTCTGCTACGCAGAGAGAGCTATAGTGTCAAGTAAAACCACTTGAGACAGAATGGGCAGCGGAATATATACATGTGAGTATGCCACCATGCCATTGCTGTAAGTACCAACCCTTTGGGGTATTTCTCGATTCAAACAGACTCTAATTTTCTTTTACTGAAAGCATGGCCCGCGCATTCACACGCATATAATTATTGCACTGTCGTCAAGTATATTTTCGGAATTGGGCTCAGTTGAAACAAATACGTTTACCTTGGGTAAGTTTCCATAACACGATGCCGCTCATTCCCTTTTTGGCATTTGGCATGACTGCACTGTCGAAGAGATCTACTGCACATGATCAAGTCCTAAGCGCTCAGAGTCGAATTATGCATTGCTGCTTAATTATTCCTGTGGGAATGTTCGCAGCTTTTGCCTCTTGTGAGAGAAAGACTTTAGTCGTCCGGGTGATTGTATCTTCGAGCAATCACATTCGGATGGAGCTCGTCAAGATCAGAGCCGTTCTCTTCCTCGGATGAGGAGGGAGTAAATGCCAAGCATCAATCTCGGCCCTATAGAAGGCAGGATCTTCCCTTGGGCCTAGGTACAGCTTGAGAGCTGGCTGATGTTGAAGACGTGGCCTTGGGCTCTGACAGTCTTTGTCTTTCTCTGTCTGAGGAAGCCCATGACCTTTCTGACTCGTCACCTGAGGGTCCTGTGAAGGTTGTCGAAAAATGCATGAGTCGATGGTGACGGCTGTGGGTCATCGTTGGCATCATCGGATTCCGAGCTCAGATCAGTAAACATTGCTTCTAGAGCATTATGAAGATGCTTGTGTTTCCTTTCAAATTCTGAGGCAGCAACTATGGCATGATTGAGCGCAATGCGTGCAGTTCTGAGATTCGTGAACAAAATCTCAACTTTTGATAGAGTGTTCTGATGGTTCTGCACTTCTTCGCGTCGCTCTTGATTTTCCCTCTGGATAGAGGTTGGTACAGCTGCTAGAATACGGAGAGCATCCGTGTAATGAGGAAGTGGTAACCTCACTGTCATATCCGGCATCACCTCGAAAGGAGAGTCAGCTGGATTGAAATTCCTTGCGAGAGATTCGATGGCGGGGGTGAATTCACCTACCCAGACATCTTCTTCCTCGTAGGTCTCTAGCTGCTGTTTTGTTCTTTGAACATATTCAACTGCTGAGACGACGGTTGCGTCAGTTGCGTCGATAGCATTCAGGTGTCCCATTAGGTGACTCCGGTTTCGGAGATGAATATCAGAGTTTTCTCGATTGAGCCGAATGGTTTCATCTGCAAAGGGAGTAAGATCCCGCTCTTGTGCCAATTGTGCCTTTTTCTGGGCACGTCGGATTCGTTCGGATTGACCACCTCTTCGGGTAGGTCTGTTTTTCGGAACACTCGTTGCTTTGGTGCAGTCCCTCGTGAGGCCATAGTGCTTTTCGGTGGCGGCTGCTTAGCTGGAGGTGCCTTGCCCTGTGGGGCAACTGGTATCATTGGTACGGAAGAGGCTGCACTTGAGAGTGCTGATTGTCCTCTTGCTTTGGCGCCTGCCTTTGGCAGGAATAGAGGTGTATGTCACACCAAGCGCTTCGTCTGCCAGCTGAGCAGTTATCGCGTCTTGAAGCAGAGTCCTTATGTGTGAGGTATTGCTTGCGTTGTCGTAGGCCTGTAGCCTCTCAATATCGCGCTCTGCTCCGCGTGCTCGCCTATCGCCACGATTGAAGACGTCATTGCGGCGAATTTCGCAGCCACATGTACTACCTGAAAACAGGTTTTGCAGAGAGTCTTGGCCTTGAGGTCTCTAGCTTGTGCTAGTTGTGGACACATTCTTGAACGATGGTAATGGTCACTCCTTGATTTGTGCCATATCTCTCTGAGGGCTGTAGATTCTCCAGCATTTGTTTGAATGGGTCCAACTGGAACGCGGCTCTGTTGTGGCTCTGCCTCGGGTTCGAGGAAAGGAGCTGCTGTTTTGGCTTTTGCCTTCGCCTTCGACTGTTGGGTCGGTCGTTAACATAAGGGAAACATTCCAGACAATGCTCAAACAAGAAAGATCATCATCACTTGTGAGTGGTATGGACTGTTCTGGTGAATTCCTGGAAGTTGATTCAGCATGTGCTGATCCTCGATTCCGGTGTCCGAAAAAACTGGAAAGGCCGGCTGGCCTTGTTGCTCGGCGCTGAGGGTGGACGTGAAGCCCGCCGTGTTCGGCGATTGCTTGAAGACTCCTCTTCATCGTCCTCCTCCTCGTGTTTGAGGTCCATGTCTCACGTTCGTGTTCTTCGGTGTCACTTCTGTAGGAGAGTAATTTTCATCCTCTCTCTGATGCTGAGCAACCTCCTCCAGAGTCATCTGAAGTTGCTCGACCACGTTTGGTCTTGATGGTTGCCCACGGGATCGAGAGCGTGGTGGACCTGCAGAGGATGACTGGCCACGTCCCTGACCCTTTGGAGGGTATGCAGGTTCTGCAGGCCGTTGTGTTTTATGCCACCAATCGTTACTGGATGTTTGAGAGGATTGTCAAGACCATCCTCTTTCATCGTGGAAACGGGCATTTTACGCCTTCCTTTTGTGTTCTATCTTTTTGATACTTTCAATAGAGCGGGCGTGGCGTCCTTTCTGTAAAGTTGTAGTTATTGTAAACCTTAGGGGGGTATGCCAATCCTTATCAGTACCTGGAGCGCCGAAGTGCCAAGTATTAATGTCAACTTGAAGAAGTGCCAAGAATAGTTCTCAACTTCTTGTATGATAGCCAATGAAAGTATACACCGCGAAAATCGTCAACAGGAGAAATCGTCAACTTTGGTTTTGGGTGGTTATGAAGCTGAAGTTCTGGTGCAGAGCATGAGTTGGGCCGCCCATTTTTCTTCGAGCTTCCGCTGAAGTCATGGACTTAACGTGTGCGGTCAACCACTTTAGACCACGCTGGAAAGCTAAAGTAGACTTGATTCTATTGTCATGGTGTGCTAAGATATGTATCGAATCTTTCGATACCCCGGTATGGATAACGAATGCCCCGATTACCTGAAAATAAACCATAATAAACCCTATACAAAGCCCTTCAAAGCAGCACGGCCCTCACGGACCATGTGGAGCTCTCGCCTGGCATCGTCAAGGAGGACGGTTTGTGCTCGAGAGACAAAGGAGGGAGAGGGAAATATCTCTCGAGCGAGCTTCTGAGCTTATAATTGTGCTAGTCTTGACGAATATAGATATGTCAGCCACCATAAAAGCATGACAAAACAGAGAGAGAGAGAGAGAGAGAGACAAGTGTGTGTGTGTGTGTGTGAAAGAGAGTGAAGAGATAGAGTTTTTTGGCTCGTATACGACTCAAGAGCTGGGGCAATCGATCTATAATTGAATGTCTGCTAGAGGGGGTCGGGTTTGAGCAACATCAGACGGGTTGACATAAAAAATATTCAGGTTACCAAAGCCTAACTAAACGGGGCACTAATGTTCGCGAGGATGGGCCCGCAGCTTGCTTTCAATGGCGATCGGGCCGCCTGTCTCGCTTGCGTTGCTCACTATTAATGGAATGATGTGCAAGCCAGCTTCGCATGCATTTGGGATACATAGCTCATGTGGGTCGGACAACTTTTGTGAAGGTTTTGTGCTCGAGGGATCCGGTAGCACTGGGGTCCCGAAGTTTTGGGATGGCACGAACGAAAAAATCGGAGAAGTTTTCGCTTGCAAAGAAGTGGGAAGGGAATCGGCGAATCAAAAAGAGGTTCGAGCGAACCGGCAAATGGGTGAAGTTCCCAGTGCCTGTGGGCGACAAGCCGGATACGCATCCGGTTTCGACAGCGGCCCTAGCAATGAATGCAGATGCCCTCCACTGCATTGTTGAAGTCTATGGGCCGAACGCTGTGCACATTGAGCCCTTGCAGAAGCAGGCCCCTGGTTTCAACAATGCCTTGTAAGGTTACTTGATGAGAAAACACCATACACCGTAGCCATTTTGGCTCAAGTTTTGGGCCCGAGTCGTCTCAACTAGTGAACTAGCAATGCAGCCCCATGCTTGGATTTCTTGTGCCTATTGCGATAGCTGGGTCTGGGCAAACAGAGCGGCCAAGTTGGTCAACTGCAGATGTGGGAGGCCCTGGAGTTGGGGGCACATACACCACACCAGCGACCAGCAGGGCCAGAGGGTTATGTCGTTTGCTCCGAGGTCTCAGCGTTCTACTGTGTCTACTCGTAATGACGGGTGGAATGGTAGCACTTTCGCGAGGAAAGCATGGAAGTACGACCGCCAGCATTGGGAATGGACAGATGTCGGACGACAAGTGGTTTGGGATGAGGCCAAGCCTGACGACGACGACGATCGGTGGCGTCAGCATGTCGAGGCGGTGCTCAAAACCAGCTGGTCCACCCTGCCAGAGTCGGTGCAAAGGGCATTGGGACCTGCTGTTGAGCCCAAGCCTGAACCACCAGCGGAGGACCCCAATGACCCGGACGTCGTTACCAGCGAATTCAAGCATGGCTACAGTACGCTCCGAGATTTGGGACAGAAGAAAATCCAGCTCAAGGCCAAGCTGGATAAGGCAGAGGAGCAGGTACAACGTGCGGAAGAACATGCGGCCAAAGTGGAGTGTGACCTTGATTCTCTCCAAAAGGAGTTGGACACAGCCACGGAGGACATGGAGCGAGTCTCCAGCAAGTATGCCGAGCAGGTGGTGCGTGCCAAGTACTTGGAGCCGCCGGTTCCTAAGCAGGGGGATGCGGGAAAACTCCAAGATCAAGCGCAGCAGCTTGCCAATCAGTTGGTGCAGGCCGAGTGCGAGACCCGTGCCGACCAGATACACGCAATGCTGGAAGGTAAGGTGTCGCCGGAGGACTTGCGCAAGATACTGCAAGTCCTGGGTTCATCGGAGGATGAGGCTCAACACAAACGACGCCGAAAGGAAGATGATGAGCCCATGGGGGCCCAACAGCCGCAGGGGTAACCGCACCACAGTGAGAGCGACTTCATCGCTAAGAGGCGATGGTTTTGAGTTTCAGCACCCACATGAAACGGTGGGTGAGTTTAAAGTTCTTTTGGCGAATGTCACTAGCTGGAGCACCAAAGCCTTACAGTACTTCTGTGAACCAGATGAGGCTTGCCAGTCTGTGCATGTAGCCTGCGTATCGGAGCACCGCATCACCACAAATGGATTTTGGGCGACTCAGGAGCGCAAACTCGGCTTGGCGGGGTGGTTGATGTGGGGAAATTTTGCCAAAGCGAATGACAAAGGTTCGCAAGGAGGAACTCTGGTGTTGCACCGTGCGGAGCTAGGTTGCACGCTGGGGCCCACGTACGGAAGTGCGTGGGGGTTTTCAAGTGTTTGGGTGCGCTTACGGGAGGTCACTGTCCTCGTTGTGTCCTTGTATATCAAGGTTGATGAAAGTCTCTTGGCTGGAGCCAATAGGGATACTATCACTGAGTTGATTGATGGCCCTGCTTAGATGCACTGATGCTGCTTGGATAGTTGGAGCGGATTGGAACCACAGTCCTGAGGAGTTGCGCGACTTGCAGTTGGACCGTGCGTGTCAGGGAGACTTTGTGGTCCCTGAGGGCCCCACCATCTCCACTGGCTCCAGGATAGACTACTTCTTGGTGAGCAAATCTCTTGTGAACAAGAGCAGAGCTGCAGTTCAACATACTGTGCCGTGGAAGCCGCACTATGTGGTCATGTTCAGTCTTGACCTGAGGCCTGAGGTGTTGAGCTTGCCCAGTCTTGAAAGATTTGGGAGACTCCCTTGCTGTCATGGGCCACGCTTGCCTTGGAGTGCTTTCCAGAAGGCAACTGCAGAGCTCAAAATGCCCCTCAGGCCACATTTCAGTCATTGCGACGATGTGCTTGACAACATGTTTGCGCAGTTCATTGCCCAGTTTGAAGCTTGGGTTTTGTCCACGGTCACCGACACTGCCAATGTTAGGTTAGGCAGGGGCCGAATCCTCGAAATTGGAGAGGCTTGCTTAGGTCAGTTGAAAGCGCCGGCGGCTGTGTGGAAACATAAAGCTGTCGGGTTTTGGAGTCTGCTTCACCGTTGGGCATCAGACTTTGTCCGGTTGCGGGAGCGTCCGTCGAAAGCTCAAAGTGCACTGCTGAGTAGGTTGTTTGTTGAAATCGCCGATGCGGCCTGTAAGATGGCTCAGTATTGGCCGAACGGCAAGGCCGTCACTGGCAGCATTGGTTTGAGTATCAACTCACGTTCGGTTCGGTCGAAGTCGTTTTCGTTTTTGGGTCTCCAACACGTTTTGCTGCGCATTGACACCTGCACCAAGTTTGTTTGCTCAAAAGCTGTTGAGCAGCTACAGTTCCACTTGCATGGAGCCCAGCTTGCCAGTCTTCAAGAAGAGAGAGACCGAGCCACGCAGTGGGCGGAGGATGCTGTTAAGGGCTCTGCTAGGCAGGCGCATGCTTTCCTCAAGCAAGGGGACGGTCGTGTGCCCAGACCCTTTGCCAAAGATGCGCCTGAAAAGAGGCCCGAGCTGCGGAGACAGTACTGGGTGAAATTGTGGGGGCACCAGGAACCGCGACATGATTTAAGTCCAGTGAGACAAGAGTTGCTTAGGAAAGCAATTGAAGAGGCCGGCCAACAAAAAACCCATCAGCAGTGCCCAAATTCGACACACCTTGCAAGTGTGTGGAAGGAAAAAGGAGGGGCCAGATGGGTTGACCTTCGATTTGCTGCGGCAGTTGCCCGAAGAAGGCTTGAGTGCACTCACGTTTCTGTACCATCGCATTGAGGCCACAGGAGTGTGGCCTTCCAGTTTGCAGCATGTGATGGTTGCTCTTCTTCCCAAAAATGAAGAGTCTGAGCGCCCGATTGGCTTGCTCAGTACTCTTTATCGGCTTTGGGGGAAAATGCGGGCTTTCCTTGTGAAGCGGTGGTTGAAGAGTTATAGAGACGTTGCTGACTGGGACTTTGCTGTTCCTGATACCACTGTGTTTGATTGCGCTAGTCGTCGCCAGTTCCTTGCTGAGGTTCACACTTGGCTTGACGTTGCCCAGGTTAGCTTGCTGGTTGACTTGACGCATTTCTATGATTGTGTGCAGTTGGACCAGCTTGCCGCCTTCGCGTTGCTGCATGGCTTTCCCGCAAGTGTCATGCATCACAGCCTCGTTTTTCATGAAGCTGTGCGGTTCCTCACTGCGGAAACCGTCACGAGTGAAGGTATCCGACCGAAGTGCGGCCTTGTTGCTGGTTGTCCTTTTGCGGTGTATCATGCTAAGTTGTATCTTCACGACCTCATGAGCGTGATGCGTAGAAGTGTCTATGCTGTGCCTAGGTCCTTGTCAACTTGGGTGGATGACATTTCCATTGATTGCCGTTTCCCTTGTGAGAACACCCTGGTGTTGGAAGCTGTTGAAGTGTTTGAGAAGCTTGCCGACGGCCTTGAAAAGTTGAACCTTTGTATCTCGAGAAAGAAAAGTGGGTTCCTGTGCAGCAACAGCTCGGTTGCGCAACAGCTTAGGAAAGCCTTGCAACATAAAAGCAATGCTCCCAAAGTGCATGACGTGATCAAGGATTTAGGTCTCGATGCGACTGCAGGGCGTCTGAGAAGAGTTGGCCATCAAAAGGTTCGAAGGCGTAAGGCGTTGGGTCGGCTTGGAAAGTTGAAGGTGTTCCCTGTTAGGGCTCGTGCGAAGCTTGTGGCCACCAACGTGCTGCCTGCCATGTTGTGGGGTGCACAGCAGCATGGCATTCCTTGCAGTCAGTTAAGACAGCTGCGATCTCAGGTGCTTAAGGCAACGCGTATGGTCAAGTCAACTGGTAGCGTTGAGGTCGTCGCGTTGTGGCTTTTGAAAGAGCAACAAGACCCTTGGTATCTTGCTAGGAAACAGTTGTTGCAGAATTGGTGCCGGTTGGTTCAGAAAGGGCTGCCAAAACTTGAGTTCGCTCTCCGAAGAGCTTGGGAGCGTTGTCTCAGGCATCTGCGGACTGTTAGGTACCCGTGGCAGCTGGCTAAAGGCCCCATGTCCGCTGTAATTGCGTTGTTGATGCAGTTGGATTGGAATCCGGTTGCTTGGGATCAGTGGATTACGCCTGACGGTATCACAGTCAAGATTGACTATCGCGACAACTTGCAGCCTGCAGCACTGTGGAAACTTGTTTCTGGTCATCTGAAGACAGATGAATGCAAGTCCATCAGTCGTGCTGCCCAAACGGCTGAACTTGTGAATGGCATTGATTTCACGGTTGTCCGGAGGTTGCATCGGAGTTGGCAGCGAAGTCAACCTGAAAGGCTGCCTGCGCTTGAAGTGGTTGTGCAAGGTTCTTTCAAGTTTCTGGACCACACGCCTTTTGCTAGAGAAAACTGTCCTATGTGCCAATGTCCGCATGGTGCGAGCGTTGAACATCACCGATTATGGGAGTGCCCATGGATGTTGTCTCAGCTGCAGTCGCCTGTCCCACCGTCGTGGAATTTGTTGAACTCGCACCAGTCCTCGCAACGCAGCTTTTGGCACCAGCTGTTGGTGCCAAGCGACTACACCTCCCTGCTGCCTGCTGATGAGGAACATGTTGAAGTTGACGGCATTTTCGAAACTTTGCCTGCAAGCGTTGACGGCTTACGTTTGTGCACAGATGGGTCAGGGGGACCGTTTACCAGTGATCCGCGCAAGCGGCGTTGCAGCTACTCGATTGTCGCCTTGCGCCCTGTGTCGGATACATGGGTCTGTGTCGGTAGGTACACTGCTTCTCTTATTGGCTCTGAACAGACGGTTCCAAGAGCAGAAACCATGGCAGTGCTTAAGGCCCTGCAGTTGACTGTAGGAGATCTTGAGTTGGCCACTGATGCTGATTATGTTCATCGCCGCTTCAAAAAGCTTTCCAGATCTAGAGGCCTTGATTGCACCAATCCCGATCTGTGGACGGAAATTAGGGCCAAGAGCGTGGGAAGAAGTGTTTCAGTGCGTAAGGTGAAGGCTCATCTTTCACAGGCGGAGTTTACCGACCTGTTTCCTGACGAGCCCGTCTGGTCTTGGATTGGAAATCGTGAGGCTGATTCGCGGGCCCAAACCCACGCTAACAAGCATACGGATTGGGACAGAGCTGCTGTCGTTGACTGGGTTGACCGCCGCGTGGTTGAAGTTGCGGAGCACCTTGTCACTGCTGCTTTGTTGTGGATGCAGAAGGCTGACCCTTGCGCAGCCTTGGGTAAAGTGCATGGCCCTAAAGGGCCAACGAAACAGCAGTTTCTCGAGCACCTCACCGTCACTCACCCACAGCATGTTTGGCAAGTGAAACCAGGGAAGGCTTGCTGCGCAAATTGTCGGTTGCTTCTTCGCAGTAACATGTCCCAGGCACGCTTGAAACAGTGTGCCGCACAGCAGTGCATAGGAGCGGGCAGTGCTACTGTCCCTGTTGGTCACCCCAGCCACTTATTGAGACAGGAGGGTTTGATTTGGAAGTGTGTCTTTTGCAGTAAGCGCACCCGAACTGCGGCAATCTTTGAACACTTTCGCCTGCCGTGCCGATCTAGGCAAGGGAGGAGGCGAGTCTTGCGTTGAGCAGGTGAGACGGTTCGTTTACAGCTTGGCTTAGGAAAGAAAACACCATAGCCCGAAACAGGTTACCAAGCTGTACGAGCTCGTGGAGCAGGAGGCGGCCGAGGGAGCCTTCTACCAGGAGTCGTGGGATCTTCGTGGCTTCTTACTTCTTACCTTCGCCTGGAAACGCCAGTACGACTCTTACAAAAGAGGCCAAACCCCAAGAGAAACTTACCAGCATCAATGATTCAAACTTGTGCAAATTGCTTGTTTGTACTTTCGCAGGGTACTCTTAGCTAGACTTGTTCCCTGCAGCAAGGATGCTGGTGTCCGCAACTTGTTTGCTTTGATCCAGTCGATCCGACAAGCCCAAGAGAACCCGGGTGAAGAAGACGACGAGGAATATGAGGAAGATGAATGCGAGGAGGAGGATCCCGTGCCCGAAGAGGCTGCTCCGGAAGATGATGAGGAAGACTATGATCAGTGGGATGAAGACGAGGAGGAGGAGCACAAAGAGGAGGCTGAGGAAGCCGAGGAGGAAGGAGAGGAGCAAAAGGAGGAGGAGATGGCTCCCCCTCCACCGAAGAAGCTGAAGAGGATGAAAAGCAAAGCTCGCCTCCGCAAGGGTTTGTCGAAAGAGTCCTCCGACGGCCCAGCCACTCCCGCATGCAAGCTTCCCAGGGCATCGACTGAAGAAAGCTACCAGGAGGTCCCCACGGCATCCAAGGAGGAAGAGCTGAAGCAGATTATGGACAAGATCAAGACCTTGCAGATGCTACTAGGCCGCATCTTATAGTGTTTCGGATTTCATGAGAGTGTTGGTATCCCAATTGGCTGCACATGGCATTCATATCATTCGAGGCAGAGATCCCCGCAGAAAGCCACCGAAGGTGGGTTTGTGTAGATGCATTCGGAATACAGGATTGGGGGTTTTTGTTGTGTTTGAGCTATCGAAGTCGTGCAGGTGCCGGTGGCACGGGCCCCGATGAGACGAATCCGGATGAGGCCCCGCATGTTAATCACATGTGGGTTTTGCACTGCATCATAGGGTAGGTTTGGCCACCATAAGAATCCGCATGAGGAGGAGACCCAGCAGCTGCCGGGATCACCGCTTGCCCCACGGGCTTTGAGCTTTGCTGGCGAGGATTGACGTGTCGTTTATAGTCTGTCTGCATGTATCACACACTAGATATGATACCATTCTTCATGAATATCGGCAGGAGACGAAGGACGACGACAAGCAGCTCGCAGCCGACGACGCCGATGGTGAGCCTGAGTCCACCCGTGGCTTTGAGGAGGGGGAAGAGGAGCAAACCGGAGATGGGGAAAATGATGAGTTGGTCGAGCCGGAGCCCGCTGAGGGGGGCGACGAGGTGGATCCGAGAATGCAAGCGAAGCTTCGGCAGAAGATCAAAGATGAGTTGAAGCCACGTGGGAAAAAAGCTGCAGCCATGAAGGCTGCAGCTAAGGCGAAGGGCACAAGGAAGGCCAAAGCAGAGGAGAAGGCCCCGAAGACTGCCAAGGCTCCGAAGGCCCCGAAATCGAAAGCCAAGCCGAAGGCTAAGGGCAGGGGCGAGGACGTGGACGAGGCAAGGGAAAGGGTGAGGGCAAAGGTGCTGAGGAGAGGCTCCCAGGGAAGATGAGAAAAGGTGGCAAGCAGAGAGTGCCACCGGAGTTGCCGGATGGTACTGTCTTGTCGCTGGGATGCTCGTCTTGCCGCTTTGCCGAGCGAGGGTGTCCGACGCGCGAAAAGGCTACCTTCAGAGGGAAGAGGCGATCCGATGTCAGCCCAGATACCATTCGCAGGGCCCGGGCCACTTTGCAAAGCAAAGCGCCGAAATACGATTGAGATGTTTTGCCTTTCGGCTTCAGCTTGCTGGGCAGGCACTATACGATATGGGCCTGGGTTCATTCGGCTTCCTGTCCATTACACAAGATTCGGTCAAGCTTTGATGATGCCACCCAGCTTGACAAAGCCATGTGTTCGGCACCTCTCGATGCCTGCTGCCTCTAACTATACTTCAGTGTAAGATAGCGAAAGCTTGTTCCAATGTTAGTCGTGGTTCTCTATGGGCCCAATGCAGGCAGGTGCTTGTCTTGATGCCAGATCGCCTGGTTCTAGATTTTGATGGCTTGTGTGATCGAACGATTGGAGGAAAAGTCTTATGCAAACATCAAAGTACACAGTTGCTCATGTAACATACTCCTACACTACCCAACCCGAACACATGCACACACGCATGCACAAATCGTGCGACACATAGATATGTCAGCATATATGCATAATTCTTGACACAAGCACATTCATAGATAGATGGATACCTAGTCACACACACATATATATATATATATACATGTATATCCAGTATACATACTTGTATGCACATAAAGAAAGTGTATACACAAATACATGCAGGTGCATATGCACACTCCTGAATACACTTAGTTGAGCTATGTAGCCACCCATCCACCCAGAAACCCATCATCCAGCCATCTATCGATTGTCCATCCATACATCCTTCCATGCTTCCGTAAATTCCTACACATGGACCTACATATCTACGAAAATAAGTAGAAACAAGCATACACATGCATACGTACTTATATATAGACATGCATACATACACATATACAGTATAATATACATACATACATACATACATACAGACAGACATACATACTCCTTCTAAAACTTCCGCCCCTAGCTTAACGGCCCTCGTTCCCCCGACCCGAACCGGCACACCCCCTCAACACGCCAGGTGCTCAACTTCTTCTTCGACTTCCTGGGCGATTTCAAGATGCCGGTGCAGGTGCTTCTGTCTGTATGCCAGTGTATGCGATAGTTATAAGTTTGGGAACTTCTGGGTAGGAGTGCAGTGCATTGATCAGTGGCAACAAGAAGCTTTGACCGAGATATGTCTGGCTACTGGCTATAGCGGTGACTGGCATAAGTAGCACTGCATGCTGGGTTTTGCCAGGTTCTCTACGCCCTCGACTACGACTTCGCTGGTGGTGCAGGTGATGATGAAGCAGGTCTGTGGGTCTCGTTCGGCTGTTGTCTTGAAAGCCCCGACCAAGCTTCTTCTTTTCGGGATCTGGGTTTTGGGTTCTTGGAATTGCTTGTGTGCCTATATGAAGTTTCTGGTTTGTAGATGCAATGAACTACCGATGTCGAGATCTCCGAAGCCAAACAACCGAACTGAGTGCACGTCTGGCCAGGCCTGGAGCGATGAGCTGGCGAGGTATGGCCTCAGCGGCAAGCGAAGTGGCACAGGTGTGCCCCTGCCCCTGCCGTGTGCCACCTCCCTTGTCTGTCTGCCTCCCTCTCTCTCTTCTCTTTATAAATCTCTGCATTTTCTCATTATCTTTCTCTTGACTCTCTCTGTCACTCCCTCTCTCGCTCTCTCTCTCTCTCTCTCTCTCTCTCTCTCTCTCTCTTCCTCTCTCGCTCTGTCTCTGTGACCACGACATGTTGCGCAACTTATATCTCTCTCTCTCTCTCTCCCTCCTTCTCTCGCTTTTCTCTCTTCCTCTCTCGCTCGCTCTCTCGGTCCTTGTCCGGTGCTTCGCCATCTATTGTAATTGTAATCGCTGTATTTCTCGAGAGTGCTTGCTCGGCTGGATGAGTGCACGCATTCAGTTGCTCAAACCGGGGCTTTCCTTCATGTGCTGGGCTGGCTAAACCTATGTCATTCTGTAACAGCAGCGAACTGCATACCACTATAAATACTGCAGCTTCTCTCCGCTGCCGTGCACCAGAGTGATTTGTTCATGGCTGACCGGAAGAATCCAGTCCTAGAGGTCTCTTGGCCCACTAAGCATGTGTACACATGTTCTTGGAATTCTCGGTGCTTCTCTGTGTGGGAGCCGATCTGAGGTTTTCTCCATGGCCGAGGATGAAGAAGTTCACTCGCACCGGCGAGGCCTACAAATCCCTGTGCTTACGCAGCCTCTGAACCCCTCAAGTCGACGAAACCCTAAGCTGCCCGAAACCCGATAATAAAGTTTATAAGCCCTCGATGATCCCTACTAATCTTAATATCCCTTTAATGCCCTAAAAACCCTATATAAGCTTTTGATACCCTGTGGGGCCATGGGGCTTTCGACCGGGTCCTGCATCGTAAGGGGTTTCTTCGGGTTCCAATATTGGCAGGAATGAAAGTGCAATCCAGGTTTGGCTCGGGATGGTTATTTTCGCATATTCTCCTAAAGTCTGAAAAAGCTATGCTCGGTTCCGGGCTCCTCGCAACACTTCCCAGCTCGCTGCCGGGCCTCGATCTATAACCCCTAACCCAATCACTACATAAACACTCTTTTCGCCGGAAACAAACACCACCAACCCGAACAGAAACCCTTGGAAGGGGCTCCTATACTATAGCCTTATCGAATTCTTATACTTGGGCTTCCAGGATTGTAAAGACCTGCCTCAGCACTAACAAATTATCTAGTTCCGGCCGCACAACCTGGGCTTTTCGGGGATTCCGCATTATGTTGCAAAGCCCGACTTGCACTAACGGAAAGACTGCTGGACTCTGCAGGCATCAGATGAACAGTGGCGACACCGGGGCTGTGCACTTCTGATCCTGGGGTCTGCACATGCCAGACCACAAGCCGGGCTCGGCCGCCAGCGGCCACGCACAGGCCAGCAGCCACAGCAGCCGGAGTGAGAGGCTCTTTGGTGTGAGCTGGGCTTCTTAGTTAAGCAGTCTTCAGTCCTGCAGTTTACAAGGGGCCCATATGTTTTTAAATAGTACATAATATATATATATATATATATATGTATATATGTAGTTGTATGTACTATATGGAAACTGCAGGACTGAGGACTGTCCGGGGTTTTGAAAGTCTCTACATGAGACTCCCGGGTGTGAAGGCTGTGGCTTCGGAGCTCCAGGTTCAGCAGTCTAGCAGTCCTGCAGTCCACCACATTATTCTACTAGGGGACCCATAACATACTATAAAATAGGGGTTGTGCTGAGGACTGCAAGACTGTAGACTGCGGTTTTGGCCTGAGTTACCGAGCCTCAAGCTACCCTTACAAGGCTTCCATGGTACTGTTGCGTGCCAAAGTTGGCACATGTGTTCAGCGGTTTTCGTCCGAGGGTGGACATTGAAGGATGCTTTCCTAGAGGCAAGCCTCCCAAAAGTCTGCAAAACTGCAGACTTGCCTTACGGGCCTTGCACTATGGGCCTGAGAGGTCTTCAGCTGCCACTACTAGTGGCTTTTGGCTTTTTCGTAGCAGCTTGCAGGGCTTGAAGTGCTTCAGTGAGTGTCGAAGAAGAGTTTGTGAAGCCCTACTGAGCCTCTTTGTTTTACAGTCCAACAGTCTTGCAGTCCACCAATATTAGTTTAATTATGGGGACCTATATCGATAACATAGGGGTGCCTACTGAGGACTGCAAGACTGCTGTACTGCACAGGGCCTCAAAAGGTCTCTTTGCAAGGAGCCTCTTAAAGACTTCTTTACAGTCTAACAGTCTCGCAGTCCACCCATATTATTCTAATTTGGGGGCCTATGCTATAAGATCTATAAAATAGGGGTGCTTACTGAGGACTGCAAGACTGATAGACTGCACAGGGCCTCAAAAGGTCTCTTGGCAGGGAGCCTCTTGGAGACTCTTAGACTCTAAACCCTTAATCCCTAAGTTACAGTCTAGCAGTCGTGCAGTCCACCCATACTATTCTAATTTTGGGACCTATACCTATACTAGGGGTGCTTACTGAGGACTGCAGGACTGGTAGACTGTACATGGCCTCAAAAGGTCTCTTGGCAAGGAGCCTCTTGGAGACTCTTA